AAACATTGGTGAATGACACAAATTCTCCTAAATCCCTCGTACGCACAACTTAACAACAAATCTGTGTACGAACGGTTCTTGCATGAGGCCCATTGTGTTCTCAGGGTACGCTCTATTAGTATAGTATTAGAGGTCCGTTGTCATTTAGTCATTACAGATGTTGAGCTGATGTGGTTGTAACTGAGAGTTACTAACAACACATATCTGAGTGCAACATCTTGTAATACTGGATGAGACTGAGCGTTACAGTAATTTGAATATTTGGCCAAAATTATTTCTCAACATGACATTATTTTAATTTAAATCTTTTGTATGAAAAGTGGTGGGTGATAATTAATCCTTTAAACTACGGTAATTAGTTTTCAATTACACCATGAAACAAACTACAATAACAATAATTCCTGCTTCATAATATTTCTGAGAATGATGGTGTGTAGGTCACATAGTACAAATTAATATATGAATACAATTAGTTAAACTAAAAAAACATCAAATATAATTTGACTTAAAAATCAAAACACAAATTTGTTTTTATTTTTCTTACAAACGTTGATAATCTATTAAAGCTCACCAGGTGCTGCAGCAGCCATGTTGTTTCTGTCACTTCAGATGAATTCTGCAAGAAAACAAACAATCAAACAGAAGAAGTTTGTGTTTATTTTAACACAAGTATAGCTGTAAACTTTTTATAAACCTTAACAGCTCAATCACAGTTAACACTGAGAATCTGTTTTTAAAACTTAGTTAAAAGAAAAATTAAATATACTTTAAAAATGACAGACTCATACTGCATATTTAAGACCTAAACATCACAAAGCCATCATTTTATCTTAGCTTACAATATAGAGAAAACAATTAAATCCAACCTTAAATAGGTTTATTTAAAAACATTGTTTCACTTTGTTTAAATAGTTCCTACAACAAGTGTTACAGCCACAAAGAAGAAGCAAAAAAAAAAAAAAATAGGATTTCTTTTAGTTTTGATTATTACTGATTTAAAGTGTTGGTGTTGAAAAAGAAAAAAGTAAACCTGAGAATGTGAATTTGTTTTATTTATTTCATGCAGTAGTTCAGCTGAACCAGTAGGACATCATAAAGAGGGTTGAGGAGGGTGACAATTATTCCTCTTTTTCCTACTTTGATTTTAAACTCATTTATTGACCAACAATAGGTTGATTAATTTATTCACCCAATGTATAATCAGACTCATAACCACTGAAGTGGAATCTGCATAATTAATGGCTCTGTTTTACAAAACAAAATTCATATTTATCCAAATGAGGAAAGTGAATTTGTATTTTGAAATTTGGCATCAACAGGCTTCCATACCTCTGACACCTGAGCTGGAGCCTGTTTTTTTTGTGTTGTTTTTTTAAGCAGCAAATTCCTGAAGATTGGGTGTGGTGGTTATGAAACCTGACTGAGCGATAACTACACCCATCAAAATATTTGTAACAAATACTGTACTCTGAAGATTTAAAAAAAACAGCAGCTCTAAAACATTTGTGTCATTTTTTTTACTTTTTAAAACCAGAACAAACTATTTTATATACTTTTGTCTCTTCTTGACTTGAAGTTTTTTATCTCTACTTTTTGTTGTTGTTGTTGTTCTGAGTCATCTTCTAACCGTCTAAAACGGCAGTTGGCAAAATACTACATTAAAATTAAATAAAACTTAATCAGACTGTTATTCGCTGAAAAATAACTTTTACAGAGAACTTACACAATCAGATCTGGGCTTTACACCACATTTAAAACAAATGAACTGATCAATAATAATGTTTGTTTAATCTGAGCTGACACATTGTGACAATCAGTTAAAAATCACTACAAAATGTGACTAAAGTAAGCTGTTAGTTATTACCCTCACTGAACACAAAATCTCTAAATAAAATATGTAGTATATTTTTAATAGTGTCTACTCACCTGTCACCGTGTGTGTGTGTGTCTCCAAAATCAGGAAGTGAAGTGAAAGGAAAGTAAATCTCGGGAGCGCGCATAGTGGGAAGTGTGCAAAGACTGTTGTACTTGGTAGGAAGAAGATCGAAGAAATAGACTTAAAAATGCATGGGGAAAAAATAGAAAAAATGAGTAAATTTTGTTATTTAGGAAATCATATTTGATTCTAAGCTTTTATGGAGTGATCACGTAAAGTATGTTGAAGTGAAATGTAAAAAAGTTATAAATATAATGAGATGTTTAACAGGATTAGATTGGGGTGCAAATAAAATTACTTTAAAAAAGATCTATATTGCTTTGATCAGATCAGTTTTGGACTATGGATGTGTAGTTTACGGGCAAGCTGCAAAAACAGTGATTAGTAAGTTAGAAGTTATTCAGAATCAAGCTTTGAGGTTACGTTGTGGAGCTTTGAAGACATCTCCATCTTTGGCAGTGCAGGTAGAAACGGGAGAGACTCCTTTATATTTAAGGCAAAAGTAAATTCAGCTGAATTATTGGGTAAGTTTGCAGGGACATAAGGAGGAAAATAATACAGCAGTAGGAACTCTGAGACCTTGCTGGGAGAGTGATAAAGCTAAAATAGACTGTTTTGCCTGGGCAGCAGATAAATGCTCAAGGGAAATAGGTATACAGGGAAAGACGTACTCTGCTGCGATGCCTTATCCAATTACACCTTATTGGCTATTTCCATATGTGAATGTAGATTTAGAAGTTTACAAAGAAATGCAGATAAATAAAGATAACTAGACATGGGTTTTTACGATGTAAAAACAAGTGTGTATTGCCTTGTAGCATGTCATTACAGCATGGCTTTGCCTGCAGCATTGGACTTGCAGAATGAAATGTGACCAAGTTCAAAAGTGTTTTCTAAACCAGCTTGTGTTTGTCAAGTCAGCAGGTGTTTGTAATGAGGGTAATTGTGTGACAATATGAAGTTTGAAGAGATTTTCTGTTAAAGTTACTGTTGCTGGTTTTTGAACCCTGATCTCCTACATGAAAGCCCATGGCACTAACCATGAGACCATTAGAGCTGTGGTAGAGAGTGAGGCCAGGGTTTCGTTTGTATGTGTGCAGAAAGTGGCCACATTGCCAATGCAATTATTGACACAAAACTGCAAAATATTACAACAATAGAGCAGTATTAAGACAACTTTATAGTAAAACATCAAAATACAATCATATTAGTATTGTCAACACTGAACTATTGAGATTAAATATTATAAAACTATGGTGCAGTACTGAGTAGATACAGCAGGGGGCAGTATTGGACCAATACAAGGCTCTATTGACTCCCATTATAAATTATTAAACATTAATATTTCCAAAAATATAAGTTGTAGAGGCACCAAAGGCATAGCCATCATTTGGCACACGAGCTTTACAGATATAAATTACAATGGCAGCTCTAGGACAAAGTATGCAGGAGGAGAAGCATGGCAAAGTGGAGATGACTTGGATGAGAAACGAATTACAATAGTGTGCACTGCATTGGCAATGCACACTGATAATTGGGAAAATTTTGTGAATAATAGAATTAGGAATATATATAAATCCTTTACAGTTATATATACAGATGACTCACAAGATTTAGGTTAAAATAAAACAGGATGTGCTTCTGTTATTCCTGAACCAGGTATATTTAAGAAGCAAAGAACATCAGATTATTTATCTGTTTATACAGTGGAAATGTTAGCAATCCTGATGGCCTTACAGTGGATAGAACAAAATAAAATTAAAAATGTTCTTATATGTTCAGATTCATTATCATCATTAATGTCCATTTTAAATAGTTCATCTGAAAGTCGTATGGAATTAGTTTATGAAATTTATGAAGTAATATTTAGAATAACACAAATTCAAATAAAGATTAGGTTTATGTGGGTACCTGCTCATAAAGACATGGAAGGGAATGACATGGCAGATCATTTAGCTAAAGAATCGTTAAAACTAAAGGAAATTATGGAAATAGCGCATTCTAAATCTGAAATAAAATTAGTTATTAAGAGAAAAATTAAGTCTGAATGGCAACAATTATGGGAGGAAGAAAATAAAGGTCGTCATTTATTTAATATGCAAAAGAAAGTAGGAAATATGGAAATAATTGGAAAAAACTGAAAAGAACAAGTAGTAATGACAAGATTGAGGGTTGGACATAACAAATTAAATAAAACATTACATTTGATAGGGAAACATCCAACAGGTAGTTGTGAGTGTGGTAGGGATATGGAAACAGTAGAACATGTAATAGTTCATTGTGAAAAGTATGCATCAAGTAGAGAGAAGCTAAAATGAGAAATTATGAAATATGATATAGAGACATTAAAATCAAATAAGATATTAAATAAACATAAAATAAATAAAGCAGTTATTAATTTTTTGAAGGGAAACAGTATTATTTATGAGAATTTAGATTAAAGGGAGATCTGGTCCACACTCCAGCATAGTAGATGGCGATAATATATCTTAACGTTAGATGTCACCCGCCAATAAAAACAGACGAAGAAGAAGAAGAAGAAGAAGAGGTGTAAACAAGAAGAAGAAGAGGTGTAAACAAGAAGAAGAAGAGGTGTAAACAGGTGTGTCCAAAAAACAGGTGGAAATGTTGAGAATATATTATTACTTTTACAAAAACTAAATGTAGGAAAAAATCTGCAACAGTATTTAGAGGTTAAATTACAAAAAAGTTCTAACAACTCTTCTGTTTTAATCACAGAATTTATAAACCGATATAGCACAAATGTTTTGTCACGACTTAAATTTTATATTAAATATAAATTTATTTAAGTTTACGGTAACTTACGTCTGGAGCTGAACACAACTTGTAAATAACTTCTCAAAATCTGCGGATGTGTGGCTATATTATAGTTTTATACAGGAATTACAATATTAGTCTGAACTTATTTAATATTTTCACCGTTAGTTTACAGACACACCGCTAACACCGAAGAGGGCGCGGCCTGATGACATCATCAACACCCGTCAGGAGCAGCATGAAGCGAGCGGCTCGAACCGGGTCGACCTTGCTGTTAGGAGCGGGATTCGGTGCTTTATTGAGCCGCCTGCTGAGCGGCAGAGACCGGCGGGATGAGGAGGACAGGCTCGGTGTGCTCAGCCGGGTCCCGGTCATCCCGGTACCGGGAGTCCCCACGGTCCACGCCTCCGAACTGACGGTGAGTGTGACCGGAAGTGTCCTGCTGTCCTTGTGAGGACCGAACCGTCAGCTGATCAGTGTGAACACAGTGAATCAGATTTACACAAGTAAAACTAATAAGATCAATGAAGTAAATGTTGATTTAAATTTTAACGTTTTAATTACTTTAAAGTGGTTTTAGTAATATATACATACATACATATACATATATATATATA